TTCCTTCTGGTGGGCTTCAAATTGTAGACATGCTGTCTGCATTATTTGTAACAACTTGTGTAAATGTGAAAAAGTGTGTAACCTATTGTAGTAAGTTATCAACATCTAGCACTACTTCAGCGTCAAATCAGTGCTTGGAATTGCTGTAAAATTGACACATTTTAATAATTTAAGCAGCAACACCCTGGATTTCAACTATTTTCAGATCAATGAACTGTTGTGAATCCATGGTGACTAGTGTGTAAGCTAAGGTGGTTGAAAGTAATGTGTAGTTTACTATGTGTACATGGATCTGGTGCAATTTCTACAGTCTAAGATGTGGCTTGCTCAAAAAAATCAAACTTTCCAAATCTGCAGTACTACATTATATTTCTGGGGACCTTAACACCCCACTTCCCAAATGGTCCATTAACGTCCTTGTAGCTGCATCAGATAGACAAATTTTTGTCTGCATTCACTAGGAAAATGCCATCTTTGGTCTAGGAAAGGAAGAGGGAGTTTGTTCTATGTAGTTCACTGATGCGTACATGAATCTGGGTCCAATTGTCTGAACAAAAGAGTTGCGCAACACAACCCACGATGAGAATTATAGAAAAGCAACCTAAAGTTCGCAGTATTAAGGCAACACTAATGGTAGTTTTTGGTTTGATGCTATTCCATGTTTTGATAGTGGTTTTCGTTCAGCATTTACTAGAAAACTACTCTTGGTTTCAAACAGTACAAGTTTGTTCAATAGCCATTTACGTGAGAGGACTTTCTCCTCGCTAGTAAAAGAAACAAATGATACATTTTTAGATCAACAAGCTGTGAATGGTTTGTGGCAAAAAGTAAAATGCTGTTAATAAATGTACAGGTGCATGTGAATTCCATAGGTCTTGGGCTGCCAGAAAACCACTTAAAATTTGCAGTACAGTCAGTTTAGGGTCTCTGTTCGAGGAAACGTCTACGGAAGTCAACCCAAAACTGGCTGTTGGTATCTTCTTAGCCATCTTTACAATAAGTTTACATCTATTTTGGGTACATAGTTCTAGTAATCTGACGTTTTCTAGAACCTAGGCATGCATGTTGCACCCCCGCCGTTGTTCCTTCAGATTCATGAGCAAATGACAAAGCATTCAACATACCCTTTGTAATTAGATTTTGAAAATTAATTGCAGGAATTGTTAATGGCCTTGATTAACTGGATCCTACTTGTTACAACATGAGACAAATCAAACTCTGGGTACCAAGACCCTGTCAGTGCGATAGTATTGAGTGCATCTCTGAACAGATCTATGAAAACTTAAATTCTCTTTTTCTACAGTCCAAATGCTAGATTGTTTTGATGAGCATGCAGCTTGTGAATAATTATCAGTACTGCTTTGAGAAGTACCATCATTATAAAAACTCTAAAAAGTTGATGCGGATGATGGACAATCAGTAGTATGATTAGCCATTTCACCCTTTGTGTTTACATTACAGCATTTATCAGAGCATTTTGCTTGAGCCAGCAAAAATTTCTGTGTTCAGCTATGTTACATCTCAAGTGGTTGAGCTACGCAACATTGCCCTGACTGTGTAAACGTTTGAATATCGCCCTTTACTGCCATCTCAAGAGTGGATATCAATTGTTTAGACAACTGTAGATGAATTAGTTACAGCACCCATAATCATGAAAATAAGTGCAATTGCCAAAATTCATGGTCCACTAAACTAGTGCCTCCCTGCACCTGACTGGCTGGGAGGTCAAGGTACTGGGCTGTCTTGGAATGTCTGCGCCGAGTGAGTGTTCCGCAGTATTGCTCTGGTGTGCAATGTGGCCTGAGAAGCCTGATTCTGTTGCAGTGTTCGGCCGGGGGCAAATTACACCCATCCCAAAATAATTGTTGGGTTGTCTCTAACTACAACCTGCCCATGCTGACTACACCCCCCCCCCCCAACGACTTCAGGAATGCTAGAGTGTACTGTAACTGTGTACTGTTGAGATCCAGGGGGTGACAACTTTGCATTCACTAGGGGGGTGCCTTGGCAACACCCTGACTGAGAAAACAAACAGCACCTTGAGAATGCCTGAACGGAATCTGCACCAAACTGCACAGTTCAGTAAAACAATATTTGCATCCATTAACATATTTGTGGTTTAGTAGATCTTTGGAACTATGGCCAGCATGTTATTTAGGATACCAGTAATTCAGCTAATCTGTAATTTTGCTACCGGTAATTTAAGCTGTCGCTAATTCAACATCAAGTTGACACTAGCTAAATTAAAAGATTCTTAATTCATGCCTTGAGCCTGAACGCATAGTGACATTTTTCATAACATTTATAAACAGGTATTACATTCATGGTAGGTTCTAATGGTTTTCAATCAATATTACCATAATCTCCATCTCTGTACAAGTTAATACCCTTAATCTCATAAACAATGCCCAATATACTGCCAAAAACTAATACATGCACAATTAAAATTGTTTGTCCAAACACATTGGGGAAGCTAAAAAATAGCATCAAACCTTTTGGGCTTAGAGAGATAAATAAAACCACACCCTGTTCTTGTTCTGTATAAAGCTCAGCATTTGAGGAATGTAAGCTAAATTATGTTCACAGTGAGCTAAGCATGCTGCTCGGTGTAGGAATTAACAGTGACATTACATGTATGGATCTCAAGCACATTAACTCAAAGACCCATCTAAACTTTACCAAACCTTGTGAAAACCAAAGAGAACATTATGTTGGTGTGTAGTATATACAGGTCTCACAGGAATCAGTTGGAATAAAGGAAACAAGACATCAGTATACTTATGAATAAAAACACGTTTCATATCAACAAAAAAACCTTACTCATTTCATATTTGAATGTGATAAAACAAGGTTATATTAGGGCAATAACTAGTTTATTCACATACACTCCCTCCCCCAATGTTGTTACACTTCGGCATCTCCAATCAGGCATGTATGTTGGGGTGGGTATGGTATGTGTATGTTTAAATCAAAAAGGAGGCTGGGGGTCTGTATCTTGGTAGGACAGCTACAGTGTTACACTTCGTTATCTCTGCTATGGCACATAGAATCAGCATGAGAATATTTACACCTATCTCCAAGATCACACTTTCCCTGAAATAAAACAAAATGGGTTTTATTGATTTATTTATTTATTGAATATAGCCATCCCAGTCTATAAAAGCAATAATTATGCATAAAGTTTGCACAAATCTTTGTTTTTGTTTCTTTAATATTAGGGTTAACTGTCACTGATAATAATGCCAGCAACACAATGCATGACAAGTGTGACAAGATTCTATTGATGTCACATGCGAAATGATCAAATACATGTGACACAATTTTCCACATAATACTATTCAAAGACATCAGTCACGATGTTATATACATTCACATTGCCTGTTTTTATATATGATACCTCTAAATATACCGGTACATTTATGTGTTGTGTACGTATTAAAGTGTTCGCTATTTAATGAAAATTTGACTGGCTGATTTCATCAACAAGAACATTGGCAATCATCTGGGGATGGCGTGATCAGAGGTAATCTTCATAGAACAAGTCATTGAAAATGACACAGTCCTCGTTAAATGTTTGAAAGTTCCCTTTGTGCTCATCATATTAAAGCGGAGGGGTTGTCGCGAGCGTGTTCTTGAAACTTGAGTTCCAAGTGGCGTATACAACAGATTGTTTATTTTCATCAAAACACGTGTTCTGTGTACCGGTAGTAGTAATATGGCCAAAAATTAAAACAGCCGTAATTCGGCCATCTTTGATATGTATGATGTATGTGCCAAATACGAATGAAAATGGTACATAAATTGTGGAAATATAGTAGAAAGGCCAAAAAGTCAGATGGCTGTCAGTCGGCCAGCTTTGACCAGATTTTGAAACAAATTGTCATGGACATGCATCCTAACATGTATAAAGTACATGTATGTGCCAAATTTGAATGAAAACTGACAGAGCACGTCCAAGATACTGCATAAAAAAAAAAAAAAAAGATGCCTGCCAGTCGGCCATTTTGAATCAAATTGCTAAACCACTGCATGTGCATATGTCCCACATAAGGTACTAGGCACATGCAAAGAATGAATAGAATCGGTCAACAGGATTCTGAAATATGACTATGGACGGACGAACACATAGACGGATGGTCAGACAGACTCAGGAACTCACAGACGGTTAGGACATGTATCCTAACATGTATGATCTATGTACTAAATTTGAATGAAAACTGACAAAGCATGTCCAAAATATGACATTTTCAAAAAACAAGATGGCTGCCAGTCGACGATCTTCGATCCATATGTGAAATAAATTGTCATGGACATGTATCCTAACATGTATAATCTATGTACCAAGTTTGAATGAAAACTGACAAAGCATGTCCAAAATGCAACATTTTCAAAAAACAAGATGGCTGCCAGTCGGCCATTTTGAATCGAATCGCTAAACCACTGCATGTGCATATGTCCCACATAAAGTACTAGGCACATGCAAAGAATGAACGGAATCGGTCCAAGGGATTCTGAGATATGACTCCGGACAGACGCACAGACACACGGACAGACGGAGACCGAATTATAAGTCCCCGTTTTCGGACTTCGTCCGATCGGGGACGAATAAGCACACAAATAACTGTCAAGATATTGATGAAAGCGAGAGAACTTGTTTTGTCCCCCAAACACTGTTCCATTTCCTCCCATCAATCGCATCCACTGACTGTAAAGAACACTATTTGAGGGGCATGAGGGAGTATTTTACATGTTTTAGTTTTGAACATCAAAGGTGGCCCACAGTAAGCTGTGTTTCTATATCAGAAGGGCTTATGCACTGATTCCAAAAAAACTTCCTGTGACTCAAGAAATTAGTGCATTTATCTGAATACCTTTTTAAATCTTTTACAAGGATAACTTTTCAAGTCCCTCTCGATGTAGCCCTCAACTGGTCCTCGTTTCCCTTGTAATCTTGCTCTTTTTTCAATGATAGGTTCACTGCCACCTCTGCCAAAGAAAACCTTTATCATTTAATGTGACAATAGCAGACACATTAAGATACATGTAGTATGAATTATAGCTACATGTAGAAAGCAAATTTATTTACTGTCCACTGGACTGGATTCAGGTTCAAAATAATGATGTAACGAAAGAATAGTTCTCAAGTCATAACTTACTTTCTCTTTGCTCTAGCTTTAGGCCCCCAATATTTCTGAGGGTTTTCTGGAAACCTAACCAGTTTAAACTTTCTGGATCGTGGATTTGCACTGGGTAATGTTGTGAATGAAACTTCAATGCTGAAAGATAAATAATGACCTCAGAAATACAAGAAATTTACAACTAGCGATAAGAGCACATATGAAATCAACGATAAGAAATAGTTCTGTTGTAAAATGTAGTGTCACCTCGTCATCTATACAAGAAGTGAAAAACTCAAAAAATATTAATATTTATTTATTTAGTATATATTCTGGTAACATTCAACACCAATGTTACTTTTTGTTGACACTGACAAATGACAAAGCGATTCAATACACATTCTGCAGACACTAGTGAGAAAATATGTTACTATATAATCAGCATAAGTTTACAAATAATATACACAGATTAATTCCAAGCTGCTATTAGACATTTGTCTACACAAGTACAGATTAATTCCAAACTGCTATTAGACATTTGTCGACACAAGTACACAAGCACAGATTAATTCCAAGTTATAAGAGACTCAACTACAATAGTAGAATGCATGTCATGTACTACAGTAAGTCTCAATTATTCTCAGATGATGCCAATTTACTTATTACATGTAAAGCAGGCTTAGAATGAATACATGAGCAATTGATATATTTTTAAAGCCAAATAAGTCTCACCTTGGTTCTTTACTAAGTATTTTAGTTGCTGGGTTGCCCTCTTTCAGTCTCTCTTGCTTCACAGGGTGCAATTTGACCTATAATCAAATGTATGACAAGTCAGACAAGTAGACAGGTAGACAGGTGACCTCTCGGTGAAAATAGCTCTGCTACATTTTGAGTGTCTTTCTCAAAACAAATTATATAATGTTCAATACAATACATTATTCGTTATGTTTATTGTTACCACAATATCATGGTTATTTATAAACAGGGTGCTTGTTGCCATGGCAATCACAATTGTTATCATCTTGTTGATAACCATACCAAATGTCAAACAAATTAAGCTGGTAATTTTTGAGAAAAAGTAGAAAATAGCAATTTTACCAAAAAGGACAAAAATATTCACACAAAAAATATAATGTACAGGTTTAATATTTGTAGGACTGGAGTTGACTCACCCATGCTCTCATAATATCCCATATAACATCACTAGGTGCACTGGTCTTAATCGCTTCTGGACTGGCATGCGATAGGGAAACTTCATACCCAGCATGCAGTATTGCAGATCTACAAAAGAAATTATTTAAAAAATTCAAAGGCACAGTACAAAAATACAAAACTATTTAGATGTCCTGGAGTATATAAAAATTAAATACATCATGCATACATTAAATACAAGTAATTTTGGCCAAATTCTACATATGGATTACAAGTAATTTTGGCCAAGTACTATATGGATTACAGGTAATTTTGGCCAAGTTCTACATGGATTACATTTAATTTTAGCCAAGTACTACATGGATTACAAGTAATTTTGGCCAAGTTCTACATAGATTAAAGTAATTTTGGCCAAGTACTACATGGATTACAGGTAATTTTGGCCAAGTTCTACATATGGATTACAAGTAATTATAGCCAAGTTCTACATATGGGTTACAAGTAATTTTGGCTAAGTACTACATATAGATTACAAGTAATTTTGGCCAAGTTCTACATATGGATTACAAGTAATTTTGGCCAAGTTCTACATATGGATTATAGGTAATTTTGGCCAAGTACTACATAGATTAAAGTAATTTTGGCCAAGTTCTACATAGATTAAAGTAATTTTGGCCAAGTACTACATGGATTACAGGTAATTTTGGCCAAGTTCTACATATGGATTACAAGTAATTATAGCCAAGTTCTACATATGGATTACAAGTAATTTTGGCTAAGTACTACATATAGATTACAAGTAATTTTGGCCAAGTACTACATAGATTACAAGTAATTTTGGCCAAGTACTACATGGATTACAAGTAATTTTGGCCAAGTACTACATGGATTACAAGTAATTTTGGCCAAGTACTACATGGATTACAAGTAATTTTGGCCAAGTACTACATGGATTACAGGTAATTTTGGCCAAGTTCTACATATGGATTACAAGTAATTTTGGCCAAGTTCTACATATGGATTATAGGTAATTTTGGCCAAGTACTACATAGATTACAAGTAATTTTGGCCAAGTTCTACATATGAATTACAAGTAATTTTGGCCAAGTACTACATGGATTACAAGTAATTTTGGCCAAGCAAGTACTATGTGTATTACAAATAATTTTGGTCAAGTGGTACATGGATTGAAAATATGGAAAATATTAAAATTAAAACACTATACATATTGGTCATTTACCTTAGTTGGATCAGTGACGGACAACTACAGTGTAATACATTACACATTTTACCAACAATATAATACAGTGGACAGTCTGGTAACTCCTATAATGAGACAAACACAATTACAGTCTGTATAAATAATACTAAAAGCAACCAAAACTAAGAAAATTTTCTCGTATCCAAAAAAAAACCTTACCTCACTCACAACATTCAATAAACCAATAATTCTGTCTGATGTTAAAAATCTCCCAGGGTTCCTTTCCACTCTTCTTAATAATTTTGTAACAAATTCCATATTATGTAAGGGTTCAGCCCACATGGGTCCACCAATCTATGTAGCAAAGAATAAATCATGACAATTCACTGTTATGACGTAGTCTCTACCATTTAAGCTTGGATATAGATGAATATGGTATTGCATATGCCATATTTCCTGAAGGACAATTTCAGAAGACAAAGAAATCTAAAAATGATTTTGCACTTTGCAGGATTTCCGGATCTATGTGTTTTTGTGAGCATTATTTTGTGAAAATGTACAATATATGCTTTAGTTTTCTAATTACAGCGTGTCAAATTTATCCAATAAGATTGTCAGTAGCATGTCTTAATTATTTGATGGTTGCTAAAAGGCACATAATAAAAACAAGGAGCCTCGCTGAGATAGCTCTGTGGTTAATAATGCACATTTCAATTAAAGAATTGAAGATATTATATCACAAAATGAACAAATCTGAGTGAGGTCTGTAGTAGATTTATATATAATATCAAATCAATCAATTGCGGTTTTCAACAAGAGGTCAAAAATATAACTTTTTACCAAAAATTACAAAATATTAAAATTAGAGAATTAAAGATATCATGAAATGAACAAATCTAAGTGAGGTCTATCTAAGGTATATATACAACAAGTAAAAAGTTGCCACGAACAACAACTGACAATCACTCATATGAAGAGCTCCATTCAACAAAGTCAACAGTGGAGCTAATAATATGACGCATTCTTTCTGTCTACAGTATAGAAATGTCTTGTGTAATTTAGATATTCATGTGTTTTAAAGTCAGAATAGTCAAATAAAACTGCAATAGCGAAATTGGTCAGCAGGTAATTCCTTAAATATTGGTGCAGCATATGCACTACTGTATTCGCATATATCTAAGCTTTCAGATGATGTATAGGTTGTTATACTAGCATGCTTGTAACTTTTTGAGAATGCCTGAATCACAGACACCCACCCCAACCCCCATTGAATATTATTTCACTTGCCGTTTTACTCAGGTAACTATAATGAAATCATCTCATTGCACACCAGCGTCACATTTTTTTCCTAAAAGATGAGTATTTTCCTGTGCCATATTTCTCTTAGCAAACCGAAAAAAGTTGTGTATGATGTATATAGACAAGTCAGACCAAAATAGCCACCAGTCAGCCATATATGAGATATGTATTACGTAATCAGTCCAGGCATGCATGAGATATGGTGTTTATTATTTTTCATATATTTTTATCTAAATGTATTATTTTTTTTAAAATATTTTAAGGCAATCATGAAAGCTCACAAAAAAAGAACTAGTGAAACAGAGTGAGAGAGTATATGGTTTCATGCAAATATTACTATTATTATTTTACACAAAAATACAGTCAGATTACCTGGAATCTTCCACCACAGTGTTCACATGATGATCCAACTGGAGGTCCGCTAGCAGGACAGTATTTCAAACTAAAAACAAAAGAAACACGAAAATGTAAATTCTGCCACTTGAGGGGAGACATACATTGGAACTATGGCGAACATGGGTCACTCAATATTAAAAATAATAGGCCCCTAGTGCAGGCAGCACATTGGCAAACCATACCCCCTATTGCGGATGCAATATTAATTTAGTAACCCCTAGAGCAGACATATTGAAGAAAAAACACCCCCTATTTCAGACATACATGTATAATGACAACATACTACCCCCTATTGCGAGGATTCTCTGCCGTGTTTGCACTCAAGTGGAGTGTGATCAACTCAAACAAGTTACTGTGTATGCAACTCCTGTTGGTGTCATTCGTTGTTTGATGAAGAAAGATCAGAGCTATTGACGTGAGTGTGAATATGATCATTACAATGCACACAACTTTGCCAGAATTCTTATTCCATCAGATACCATTATGCAATTTTATGTTCAGCTCCGAGTGACTTTGGCATGAAAAAAGCAGGATCTGAATGCGAATGAGGACGAGGCGTGAAAGAAGTGGGGATGACTCCGGGGTATGACTTTCTATATATCGCATATTGTAATCGACGAAACAAAGTGAAATGGGATAACAGCAAATATTTTGTAAATATTGTGCGTATAAAACCCATTTTCACTGAATACAGTTTAATTTTTATTGTGTGTGTTATCCCGTTTTGTTTCATTCCGTTTTGTTTCTTCGATTACAATAAGCCTCCTCTGTATGCTCGTGTTGGAAGTGGCAGGAAAGTCTCGGTGGGAACGTTCAGGCGGGCGTTTGCGGCCTGGTCGGGACAATGGGTCCGCCAATTCGGGGCCTAGGGCAGTGTATAGGAGTGGTTGTTGCAAGATGGGGCCTACAGCGGGCGCAGCAACCCTGTGAGTTTATTTCTGGGGGGCCTATTGCAGACATTAGCAAATTAAAAGGGGGCCTATTTGCTTCCCGCGCGGGCCCGCTTTAGAAGGTGAAAAACACCCCGCTTTCCAGCTAAATTTGGAACGCACATGGGGTAGTAACAGTATATAAAGTGACCCCCCCCCCCCCGGATTATCCACAATATTTGATGTTAGGGAGAAGAAAAGATAGCCTCCCTCTAGTGTCAAAATTGAGAAAAAGAACACGAGAGAGAGAGAGATGATAAAATGTGCTACATGATGACATATTTTAAAAGTACATTCACCTTTTTTCTGTCTGTATACATTTGCCCATTCTTTGTAAATGGTAGGTTTCACAGTGAACACAGTTGTAGACCATGGCACGCTTACTGCAATGCAACAACATTACAATATATTCAATTTTCACAAAGACAATATTGAGATATATAAAACAATGTCAATAAAAAAAAATAATGTATATTTTGATTTCTGAGTGAAAAAATATACTTTTAAAGAACTAATTTTTTATTTGGATGATTCTAGAAAATTAATGTCAATATTTGCTATTAGAACAACTGCAATAGAGATAAATGTAGGCCAAAAATGTTCAATTTTAAAGCACAAAAATGTCTCTAGTACATGTAGGTCAATCACACTTTAAACTGTTGTTTTCATTTTGAAAATAAATTGTTTTACATAGAATTTTGCAAGATGTTAATTTATAAACTACAGCTTGAACTTGAAACAATATACCTTCAAGACATACAATTTCATCTGCCAACCTCTCTTTATATTTAGATAATGCAAAATATACCAAACTGGTTTATAAGGAATAACTGTTGTTTCTGATATGTGTATATTTAAACTTGAAAAATTAAAAAAAACAAGAATTTAACTTAGACATTGTTGATACTATGTACATGTATTCTGGTTTCAAAATCACATACTTTGCTCAACATAACGGTAATAACATTCTAACTATTGAATAGAGATGCTAGCACATGTATTTGTGAATACCTTCGAGTGTATATTTATTGTGATACATGTTCGGGCATAAAAAGAAAATAAGAAAATTGTATGTACCACTATTGTATCAATCTGTTATGTATCAGTATATTATTATTGTATATTATTATTATTTATTCCGCACTATATGGCCACCGGCCTAAAGTACTGTTACATTTCAAAATTACACACGGTCACTTTAAAATTACAAGATACATATACTTAAAATTATACTTCCATTTCAGTTTCTCTGAAATGAAAACTTTTAAACAAATATTTACCCAAACTTAATAAAATATACAAGTAAGTACTCTGTAGCAATGCAATGAATTTCATCTTGGTTGGTGGTGAAAAATAATATTTTGATAAGAATTTTTGCTTGCAAATGTTTACTAGTATTATAAAACATTGTTAAAACATTTTAAAATACTGCTTGTAGTGTGATATTTTTTTTTTCATTATATACTAAAATTATAATGCATTACATATATGCTCAAAAACATGCTCAGTAGTGCAAGTTTGAATTTGACTTAAACTGCCTTAAAGAAGTAACTAATTCATGGAAAAAAATACACACAATTTATTCATTTTGTAATAAATTGTATTCCTGGTCAATATAAGAACATTAACAAATTTTTAACAAGGGTTCATGAAATAAACAGTTTATAATATACAAGAACTTTTAAAGACAGACTATACCTCATCAACTCATTATACAAATCCATAAGTAATCAACCCAATATATTGCATACATGTATGTCTTCTTGATAATTGGTTGATCTCGTACAAAATTGAATAACGATAATTACCTTGCTGATTTTTTGACTTCTGCTTGCCCTGTATGAACCCTTATGAATAGACGTATGTAGAAATCAACACTGATGCACAGTAATGGTTCTATGTATCTATGGTAACGGTTTGCATGTGATTCAATAGAATGCAACACAATTCTTAAAGCCTGAAAAGAAAAATGTATCAAAGTGTTTATGCGAACATAAAAGAACAGAAACAAAGCATAAAGGTAGCAAGCCATGTCCTTAGATGACAGTCTCTATTGGTAAATAAATCAGAACTTGAAACAAATGAGATACACAAAGTACGATGTATGTGTAAATTTTAAATTTGATACACTGTATGAAAAACAAAATGATGTGCATTTTACTATTAAAATGGCTGTCATTCTGTTATTCTGAATTTGATTATCAACATGAGGATTGATGTATGTAAAAAGTCTGAGAGTGATTGGTCAAGGCATGTCAGTGAGATGGCTTCCAGAATAATATTCGATAAAAAAAGAATAGTTGCCAGTCAGCCATTTTCAGACCATCTGAAAAACAAAATGACTGGCATCATGGTCTTTTTACATTCACGACTGAAATCCAGTTCTAGAATGGCAGAAATGCTTTATGGTGATGAATTTTGAGCACAAAAATAGCCACCTTGTGCTCATCTTGAATCAAATTGTCAAATTGGACATGCACATGTATCACAAAATGCAGTATATATGTGTGTAGTTTGAATGTGATCTAGACATACGCAACACACTACCCACAGGATATAAAAGGTGACACAGTGCCCACAGGATATAAAAAATGAAACACTACCTACATGTATAGAATTTGAAGGGTGATGTACTACCCATAGAATATGAATAACCATGATATGAATATGAATAATCCATTGTATTTTCGTTACTTGCAAGCAAATTAAAATATACACAAATTTAAATATACAATACCATTTCATGACCATATTTTGTATGCAGAGCCATACCACCATATTTTGAATATGCGGTTTCACCATGGTTACCACATAAGACAGCCATATCTGTACATGTAATGCATAGTATTCCATCGTCTTTTACAGCTTGTACTGCTGAATCTAAAAACTGTGATGGACTCCCATACGGATCTAAATCAATGACATCGTAGCGATCATAGGGATTTCGGTGTTGATACATTAATAACCTTATGGGAGAAAAAGAAAAAGAAGAAAGGTAGTAAAAACAAAACATGTCAGTAAATGGTCAGTCTGGGACAGAAAAATTCCACACAAGACAATAATAACAATTGACTAACTTTTGAAATAAATATGGTTATAAAGTTGAGTGACATGCACTTACGCAGCATCAGCATGACTGGCGGTTACCATGCCATCCACTTTATTATGTCTGACGTTATTTTTAATGGATTCCACAGCTTCTGCAGCAAAATCATTGGCAACAATTTGTTTGACACCAGCAATTTCTTTAGCAAATCGGATAGACCGCAGACCAGATGCTGACAAACCTTCTAGGATAGAGATACCTGCCTGTGAAATATTAAAAATAAACATGTATATGCTGTATATCATAACATTATTAAATTGTGGCACTAGATGCACTATATAAAGAATGATATCAATTTAGTAAATATGTTTCTTGGGTTCAATCATTTTAGAAAATACAACCATTACTCATCATATGGGAAGAAGTGTTGGATAAATTGTGTTGAACTACATGACAGGGCTGTGTGGCCATCTCTTTATCAAATGGCGTCAACCAGGCTCGGTCGAACATAAGCACCTGCGGACTTTAACCAAGTCGCATTCATTAGTGAATGAATCTCGTCCTGTGGAATTGGCCTTCCCCATTGAGTCTGTGGCGCACTCACCCAGGGTAGGGGTTGACACGTTTGATGTTCAGCCTAAGGAATGATTTGAACTTGGGTCTACCAATCATTAGTCTGATGCGACAACCACTATGCTACCAGTGACCGGTTGTGTTGAACTCATAATAGCGGTGTATGTAAACAGGAATTTATATCTTCCAGAATTACCGGGTAGTTTATTATTTAACACATTTTATATTTCATACAATAAATAAATTGTACGCCAAGTTCTTAGTCACACAACCTGCAAGACAAAAGGTTTTTCGATACAGTTTCACAATTTTTGATACACTGGAAGGGTTTTTTACTAATAATAAAAAACGGGCATCACCGACCCTGTTTGAGAAAAAATGTATGTTTATATCATGTAGTTGACACACAGGCTCTATGAGGTGAATGTAAAACATGACCATAGTTGACTATCATCAAGCACTGACAATGCACATGAGATCTCGTGTGTTTTTACTGAAAGTTAATCTCAATGTTAACTACAGATTACATATCAACATATCTATATACATGTCTACCAAAGGGGTTCATATGTCATATTTATGTCAATGCAGTACGACTGAAATATGATTACCAATATAAGTATGTATCATCCAGATTTTTTTTTTTTTTTTTTAATAATTACGCATATCAACAGACATAGAACCAAATAAAAGATCTGGAATGAGAGTAAGTTTCTGACATCCTGTGGTAACCTTCCTCATTGCAACATGAATGCTGTGCTTTTTTACAAGCACTGAAGCCTCCCACCTCTTCCTGATTGTACGTCTCAATTTCCAACCCTGAATGTCAAGTAGGCAAGTAGGCAGTATGTACTCTGTCGAGTGTGCAGCCGACAACAGGAAGTCAAACCTGCAGTTTCCTTGGTGCTTGGTGGACACACTAACCATTAAACCACACATCAGATACAAAGTTTTTACAGTAGTTGAGTTACATGAGAAAAGAATCAATCAGTCTAGCCTTTTTCAAGACAACACGAATATCCAGATATACTTAAATAGTCTTGTAATTAACCCAAAATGACAGAAATATTAAGAGAAATTAGAGAATTAAAGTTATCATCATGAAATCAACAAATCTGAGAGGTCACATGAGGAATGAACAGAACCAAAATAATATTTCTCGAGTAAGACATCGTCATTTTTATGAAACTCAATAGGATTTGATGAAAATAAAGTATTAATTGTTTGCATTGCACTAATACAGTATATGTGTGATAAAAATATTTTGATCAAGTGTGAATGTTTCTGCGTCCACCCTGAAGAGTACAAACGGTAATAACCATATTCAAATATATATTCAAACACTTCCTGAAAAGATTAATGCATTTTTATAATCGATTAGAAAAAAATAAATACCAAAAAATAAAACGTTTTTGACAGATAAAACAGTTTCTCCAAATTAGCATGATATATGCTCATCCTTGTATCAGCCTGTTTTTGAACTAGTGGGGATTGTGCACATTGCAAAAACTAAAAAGTATTTACAAATTTATATTTTTATGCCAATAATAATGTATGGTTCAGATATGTACCTAAAACATGACTTAGATTTTTAACAATGCAACTTTAAATGTTCACTCACCTCACACAATTCTCCAGGTTGTAATGTCTTTATGTGTTTGTCATCATCTTTCTGATTGGTTGGTTTTACAGTTGATGTATCATTTTTCTGATTGGTTGGTTTTACAGTTGATATATCATCTTTCTGATTGGTTGGTTTTACAGTTGATGTATCATTTTTCTGATTGGTTGGTTTTACAGTTGATATATCATCTTTCTGATTGGTTGGTTTTACAGTTGATGTATCATCTTTCTGATTGGTTGGTTTTACAGTTGATGTATCATCTTTCTGATTGGCTGCTTTTACATTTGATGTATCATGCAACTTTTCAGTTGATTTCCTATTAATTGATTCTTTGTTTTGAGTTTCTTCATCTTTGTCACCAGGATACTTCACTAAAATGCCATAAAAATGTGTAATATATTAATCTTTTGAAATCTTTACTACGGTATATGACGAAGTCAACTTTTGTCACCATGGAAACAATGAGTTTCCACATTGTGTAATATAAACTCTTCTTTGAAGGCCTTTGATAAGAAAATACATTCAAATTAAGTTCATAATCCAAAAACTAGATATATTTTGGGATAGTGAGCAGCCAGTAACAAAGAATAATTTAAACACGATGACTTTAAGACCCGGTTCAGTTCCTTAGCAGGAGCTAATGAAATGTGCGTGAATGCTTAGCTCGGGATAAGCGCTCAAAACGCCATTGTATTCAATGTTCGTTTGAATGATTTACTCTTATATTCATAACTACTCATTTCGGTATGCCAGTTCTAACAAGACAATAAAAGTGAGCTCAATTAAGAGCTATTGTTCGTGGGAAAAACTGAACTGACGATGAGACTCTGTGCTGCTCTATGTTAATCTGCAATGTGCACTTTCTGAATTTTCTTTGGTTTTGTTTTAGAACCGTGGAACTAACACATAAACTTTCCCAGTTACTGCACTGAGTAATCATAGTTAAATTTTTTAACTCTATTTCAGGAGTATTAAAACGATAAAATGATAATCTCTGAGAAGCATGCAATGTGTTCAACTCATCGATGGATTGTTATGAGGGCAATACCACATTATTTACATCACGAGGGTAGATAGTTACCAAAACAGTGAGTGTACGTGCATTCCCTAGTGGCTTTTCAATTCATTACCTTGTATGTCTTGTGTTTTTAAAAACTCCTCGGCATATAACCCAATAACAGCAATCCTAGAACAGAGACGCAGAAATATAAAGCATCAAAATACATTCGTAAAGTAAGTTTTTTGTTAATTTCTTCTCTAATTGTTAATACATGATATACTGATCCAAATTAAGTCACTGTTATCGACATAGTCCCAGCTGAAATTAGGGGAAATATTATTCATGCCAAAAATAAAGTACCATCTTTAAACCGATTGTGATTGTGGACATGTACTCCAATATGTATGATGTATATGCCAAATATGAATGAAAATGGTTAATAAACCTTGGAGATATAATAGTGAGGTCAAAAAACAAGATGGCTGCCAGTCGGCCATCTTTGATCTGATTATGAAACAAATTGTCATGAACACAACAAATATGAACAAAAACTGAAAAAGCATGCAAAAGATACCACATTTTCAACAACAAAAAAATGGCTGCCAGTCAACCATCTTTTATCCGATCATGAAACAAATTGCCAAAGACATGTATCCTAACATGTATAATGTATGTACCAAATTTGAACAAAAACTGACTAAGCATGCATTAGATACCACATTTTCCAAAAACAAAATGACTGCCAGTCAGCCATTTTGGATTGAATCAGTAATTCACTGCATATGTCCCTAATAAAATACTAGGCACATGCAAATAATGAAAGGATTTAGTCCACAGGGTTCTGAAATATGAAATATTTTAGACTGGTTGTCTCACTGGACATCCAGTTTTTTAGAGTGGTTGTCTCACTTGACAACCAGTTTTTTAGAGTTGTTGTCTCACTGTATTTTTTTTATTCCAACATATTTATGATAGTGGCATATAAATGCTACCTAGGTGTTGTTTGAATAAGTTACATTAGTTATATAAATGAATTAATAAATGTGGCAAAACTGGTTAAAATTGTTTCAACTCCAAGACTGACAAAAAATTAAAAAAAATATAAAATATTTATCACAGAAAAAGATTTCAAGCCACGCCCGTTACTTACGTCAAATCTCGATTAAATTCTTGTACTGGATTATAAAATACTTCATTTGAAGATGGAAAAAGAATTTCAGCTTTTCCTTCAGTCACAGTATAGTACTCTTTCCCATTGATTGTCTGTGTTTCTGGACTTTGAGTAGCCATCTTTCGTTCAGGCACTTTTTGCAATATTCGTGACAATTTGGAAAACACTTTTTTATATGAGCAGGTAAGATTTCTGGTACAGTTGATTCTTCTGTTAAATATTTTTTGTTGTAAGCATATTGTGAACAACTTTTTAGGAATTTTAGCCACTGCAGACAACATATGTAAGTCCAGGTCTCGTTTGACAAGATTAGAAGAAATAGACAGATTTTCTGCATATATAATCTGCAAAAAAAAATACCACAATCATGATTATTATTTGCAATGGACATTTTTCATTAAGAATCCCAAATCAGCCATTTCATATGGGTCAAACAGTATGTATATGAAACTATTGTCACATAATTCCGATCTTTACAAATAAGTCTGAACACCTTTTTCATTTTTTCAAAATGTAGTTAAAGACTCATTTTTAGTCCCCGTTCGGACATAGTCCGAAAACGGGGACTTATGTTTTGCCCTGTGTGCGTGCGTGCGTACGTGCGTGCGTCCGTGATCACCTGTATCTCGAACATGCATGGACCGATTAAGTTCAAACTTCACTCATACATCACACATTATATGGGACATATGCACATGCATTTTTTTCATGATCCGATTAACGATAGCCGAATAGCGGCCATTTTAAGGCCGAAAATGCATCAAAATCGCACATTGTCACCATTCCGGACCCGGATCTCAGTTATGCATGGACGGATTTTGTTCAAATTTGGTACATACATTAAACATAATAGGACCTTGATGCACGTCATTTTTTTTTTTGGATCGGGTTTGAAATGGCCGACTGGAGGCCATTTTGTTTTAAAGAAATCAGTTCTGGATCCGTATCTGAGACATGCTTGGATTGATCGAGTTCAAACTTCACACACACAAGGTACATCATGTCACAAATATGTATGTGCATTTGTTTCATGATTTCATTAACGATAGCCAAATGGCGGCCACTTTAAGGCCAAAAATGCATAGAAATCGCACATTTTCACCATTCCGGACCCGGATCTCAGTTATGCATGGACGGATTTTGTCCAAATTTGGTACAAACATTAAACATAATAGGACCTTGATGCACGTCTTTTTTTTTTCGGATCAAGTTCGAAATGGCCGACTGGCGGCCATTTTGTAAAGAATTCAGTTCTGGATCCGTATCCAAGACATGTCTGGATTGATCAAGTTCAAACTTCACACACACATGGTACATCATGTTACAAATAAAAAGATATGTGCATTTGTTTCATGATCTGATTAACAATAGCTGAATGATGGCCATTTTAAGGCCGAAAATACATCAAAATCACGTATTTTCACAATTCCGGAACCGGATCTCAGTCATGCATGGATGGATTTTGTTCAGATTTAGTACAATGTGTTGTACATATGTAGGTGTATTTCGGTCATGATCTGCTTTGAATGTATATGTCACTCAAATATGAACGGAACGGGGACGTGTCATTGACAATGACTTGTTTAATTATCCTGAGTTTAAAAAATTTTCAAACATTTTTTATAACTGAACAGGTCGTGTTTTACTTTTTTCACATAGAGTCTCTTGTATTATGAAGGACCATGCTTGTATTAACTCTGCAGTAATCCACATACACGCGTTTATATCAAATATTTAGTTTTTTACCCCAATTTTTGTTTTCACATAAGCAATATATCCGTAAAATATAAAAACATTTACAAAGAATTTCGTGAGACTGTATTGAGCAATTTTAGGAAAGTACACTGCAGACTGGTCCAAACACAATCCCTCAAATGAGGGCGCACTTCAACAACCAGGCCATTAAAATATTCGCACCCACTCCTGTGTCGCATAAATATGGGCACATTCCAACTTCGACTTGTTTACGTAAAAATAAATATTTACTAATCTGCATACAAATTACGTGTAAAAAATCCATTTTTAACAAGCACGCACGTAACGTTAATGCATTTAGGTTAAATAAAAAAATGTATGCTAGCGTTAAGGCTCGACAGTTTTTAGATGCCAAATAAATCAGTGTAGTGGCGTATATTACGCAAATTACCTGAAATTAATTGTATAACCACTCTTCGAGAACTTCATGCATATCAGGCTGATCCATGTGAGCGCTACCATTTGTAAACAGTTTGCACTGTGGGTAATAAGCGGAAGTGACGTCGTGACACTACTGAGACTACAGACGAAATATAATGATATTGTTTTGGTGACATTTTCAGTGTACCTCAGACACTACTTGGCACTGGGTGTTTGACAACAACTAAACATGGATTTCGTAGGTAAGTCGACCAAAGTAGCGGATTTTGATAATTCTAATAAGATTCTGTCGTTTCATCATGTTCTAATTTTCCAATGATTAGCGAGCCAGTTTGTGATTTTGACTCTGGCTTGATTTTACAAAGTAACATTTTAGGCCAATCGTTTCGATCGATCTAGAACATTCTTCTACAAATGTAATTTCTGTAAAAAATAATTATTCCATTAAAAGTCACATACAGGACAGTTAACTCTTATATTCAGTAATTCAATTTTGTTCATATGTAATAATAAAATGACAAATCCTATCGAAACTGGACGACAAGGCGACTATTGACCTTGTCCAGTACTGCGTGCCACTCAGTTGTAGTATATTCTTGAAAGAGAGGTAGCAATAATCGGTTAAGAATGAAGAGTTGCCTGACAAAATGTCATAATTTTCTGTAAACAAATTACTATCCTTAAATAATTATAAATGTTATTATGAAATTAATATTGGCATTATGAATAATTGAATAATTATAAATTTTAATATGAAATTAATTATGGCATTGTTATAATAAAATATTACTATTACTATATTGGCATTTGATTCATCTATATATTCATATCATAAGTTGTTGGTTTTATTTATATGTTTCACAAATCATTTACAGTAATTATTTTTTTCTGTAATAATAATGTGTGCATTACCTCACTATATTTGCTTTATTAAATTGCTTCTTCAATCAAAGCTCACATACACCAACAACTGTATTTGTTGTATATTAGATTATTATTAAAATATGACTAATTTTGTCCATAGCTAATATAACTCTCATTTTAAAGAAAATATGGTAATATTTTTTCTATACAACTTATTGTTTGTCTTTTGCCATTCTGATTTTCAACATTCTGATTTTCGAGGGCAAAATTTGTAAAAATGGACTGATTAAAATTATGAAAAAATTATTTCACTATATTATGAAGGGGATTGAGGCATTCAAATGAGGCATCTAGGTGATGATCGTGATCTGAATTTTGAGTCCTGTTTTGTAACTATAGTAAGATGTGTTTTATCAAAGTATATCACTATATGATTTGCTGATGTGTCAATGATGCACAAGGAAATTGGTTTAATAAATATTTAATGTGTCAGGAAAATCTCTGTTTCCATGTTATACTGTGTGATAATGTACTTTTAGGTATACAAGATCAAATATTTACTGTGAGATCAATGGTAGAATACGAATAGCTAAAGTACATCAGGCAAATTTAGGAAATAGTGGATAGATTTTAGCAGAGGAAAACTATATGAAAATTGTCATGCTCAGATACAGTGATGTAGGAACAACAAACATGTCAATGGTTCACCCCTGGTTAAAATTTGCTGGTGAAACCAATCTAATCTCCCATATTTGTTCTGTATCACTTGAGGTGGTGGGGTTGGGATGACAGTGTTACTGCAACGTAACATTGTATTTAGTGGAATGATAAAAAAAAGAATAATACAGAGGTTAAAAACGCTTTCTCAATAGCTGGATGATATTGAAATTAAGTTCTGAGGTAGAATTATTGTTCTCGTTTTCCATCTTCTTTACACATTGTGCTGATAATTAGAAATGTGAAAGAATAGTGGCCAATTTCCCAATGAACTAATTTATAACTTTGAAAACTACCGGTATCAGTAATATTTCCAAAAAGTAACACTATGATACAACAGGTTGAAAAAAGGTTTGTATATTGTTGTTAATGAATCTAATCATGTTTTAGTTATTACTTTGTAAAATGTATAAAAGCACAGCTTGTGTGACCATATTACTCTTAGATATTTGAAGGGTTACAAACTTCCAGCCAGACCAGACCAGACCTAAAATTTGTATTAGAATTTTGCTGTTAATGTGGGGCTTGATTGTCTTTATAAAATAGCAATCACATTGGCTAAAAATACATGCAACTATCTGGTCACGGTTCTGGTTTCAAAGGGTTAGAACAGTTGCACATCTGATGTTGTAGATTCAGGAACAAACAGCAATCCACACTGTGAACATTTGAATAAATGGCAGAAATAAAATTAGTACTGAAATAAATTAAAAGCTAGTAGTAGTAGTAAACAATTGCATTTATTTTTAATTTACCGCGGTAACCTACATTGTATAAGGTATGTGATAAAACGTTTATTGACTGGATTTGCAGTCTTTGGTCGTAACGCTATTAAACTTATACTCACAAGCTTGGGCTGCAAGAACTATATAACTTCAAATTTCATAGACGAGTGATAAATTAATTTGACTGTCCAATGATTATTTATTGAATAATGCAAGATTAGTAAAATGCATTCATGGATTTTTGTTATGTCACATCGAGTATTACAGATTCTTGTTTTGTTTTGTTCACTTGATTGAAACAAGATTTGAAAGGATCAGTCTTCTTGTTAATTAAATAATGAATCATTTCTTTTCTTTGTTAGATTCACTTATTGATATCATAACAACAAGTCCATTTTCATATCTGCTGTCTGGTGTTGTGGCACTTTTTGTGGTCATAATATCAACATTTTTTCTACTGATGCAACACACAAAAAGACAAATAGCGAGTATGGGAACAGAAACAGCAGTATCCAAGAAGTCGGAAAAATTAAAGCAAGTATGTATCTTTCATATGACATAGGTTATGAATATTGTATACTATGCTTGTTATGTACTTTAAAATACTGTCGACTTTGTCGAGCAGAGCTTATCATATGAGTGATTATCCGTCGTCGTCATCCGTGTCAATGTTTTACTTTTTCGACTTCTTCTTGAAAACTACAAGCCTGAATGCTTTGATACTTGGTGTATATGTACATTGGGTGGGCCTCTCTCAGATTTGTTTATTTCATGATGATATCTTTAATTCTCTAATTTTGCGGAATATTTTTGTCATTTTTAGTAAAAAGTGATATTTTCGACTTCTTGTTAAAAACCGCAAAATTAAAATATTCATTGCTAACAGCAGAGCTATCTCAGCTGATAGGCTGCTTGTTTTCAAATAATGAGCAAAAATAAAATCTAGTGCCCCCCCCCCCTCCAAGTGTTTTTTATGTCATTTTATTATAAATGACTCAACCCAAATTTATGTTTTGAGCAAAAATCAAATCTAATGTTAAAAGTTAGTTCCTTTATTACAGTCAATTTAGTATGAGCATAATATTTTTAATGAGGCCTAGAAAATCATTATAATTTTAATAAATCCAGTAAAAATATATGTGGCTAAATAAAAATATGGTACTACACATGAAAAGACTCTTTCTGATCTCATGAAAAATTGTAGGCTTGACTATCATAGCATTCATGCTTAATGATCTAGTTGCCATAGTGATTATAATGGACTATTTCAGAGCCTTGCATACTTGCTTAGGGTACTCTGTTTATTTACATGTCAATGTTGTTATCACGTATGAATTGGCTGCCTTCATATACCTGATATATAAATAATTTTCCTCTTGAGATGGCTAGCTTTCCCTCAATCTGATTAAAATCTGATGTAGTGTACAGGCTTTAGTTATTTTGGCTATAAACTTATTTTAATTTTATTTTTTATTATATTTGTTATTAATGCCATTTTATTTTATTATTTTACTTTGATTTTGATTTTGTGATTTTTTTTTTAATTCCGCCCTACCTACATCTGATCCGACGCCTATGTAAGTCCCGTTCAAATCTCGCGTAAGTAACAGCCAATCACAGCCCCCCTTTTATACAGGCTGTCGGTTGCTTACTTTTCAGTGTATACGGGCAATCTTTCTGTACATTATATTTTGCCCACTTGAATAAACCATTAATAGAAAATTGCTAGTATATTTTTATATGCAAAAGAAATTCCACAGCATTTTACAATTTTTGTCATTACATTGAATATTTTTTTCACTTCCAACAAATGTGTACACTTCCAGATACATCTTCGCCAGCCTAGGTTTGTTCATTCAGTCATCGCTTCAATTTTACATCACTGAGCATAATTATCTAGAATGTAAGCAAAAAAATAAGTAAATCGTAATGATTAAAACACTGTAAACAGCTATAGTAAACAATGCAAACTGATTTTAAATTGTATAACGGTCACCGGCCCACGGCATCGATGCAGAAATTGGAGCAAACAAATATTTCCTAATCAATTGCGATGTGTTCCAAATAAAAAATATCTTATTCCAGTCCAAATCAGCTCAATTACTTTAATAAAGAGTTATTGTATAATGTACAAAATGTTGATACAATTTGATGAATATTTACAGCTTCAATACCGTAGACGATTTTGGCCCAACCGTCAACAAAACATCACCTGTCTCCAGGGCAGGCGACTGGAAAAAGACACTGGTGTTCGGTCGAACCGGTGGAAACAAAATCGTCACTCCCAGAATAACTATGCGAAATAACGATCTATAGTCGAACCATTCGAGCCACAATATTAACATAAAAATGACTTTCGTTGCATTTGACAATGATAAACTTACCGAAAAGCCGTGTTATTCACGATCGCTTACGTCGGTATAATCCGCCATTTTATGTGTGTTTGCCACCTGACTCTGCCCGGTGACGTCATCATGTGCGCTATAGAACGAGGTCTGTGATTCGTTGACTAAAATCGGCGATAGTGGGTCTCGTAGGTAGGGCGGAATAAAAAAAAATTACAAAATCAAAATCAAAGTAAAATAATGAAATAAAAGGGCATTAATAACAAAAGTAATAAAAAATAAAATTAAAATAAGTTTATAGCCAAAATAATTAAAGCCTGTACACTACATCAGATTTTAATCAGATTGGCTTTCCCTTAATGTTAATGCGAAGAAAAAGGTATATGAGGGGGAAAATATCTGTCTCATTGTCAATAACTTTGTTTTTTATTTATTACAACAATTTGTACAATTCGTATCAAATCATCTTCAGACTTGGTTATCATATTAATCAGTATGAAATCTTGCCCAAGTTTAATTATGGTATGATTAGCTTGGTTTTTTAAAGGTATTCATGAACATGTAACTTAGAATTGTCTTCTCCTTTGGTTACAATCAATTTTTATTTGATCATTTTCAAACTTGTAAATCTTATCAATCACTAGAAAATATATGTAACAATCCAGTTCAATTTTAGTGTGACTAGCTTGTGTGATTTTTAAGATTTCAGTGAAAATTTAGCTACAATAACACATTTGTTTTGACATAGAAATAAATCCAGAAATGAAGACACTGCTGGTCAGAAAACCAGATGTCAGGATTATACTGTAAATCTGTAACTTAGATAATGAAGTAACTGCAGATGTAGTTTAAATTGTTTTTTCCACCAGAAGATGAGTTGTTATTTTTTTCCCAGCAAGAATTCTGTCCTTTTTTTTTTCGCCAAAATGTTGCTTAGATATTTTGCTGTACATTTGGTGATTTTATGCAATTCGTGTTGTATTGTTCTATAAGGGACCTTGAGATTAATATAGTACATGTAGTATTAAATGTACAAAATGTCATCATTCAAATATTAATATATTCCTCTTCATTTATTTAATTTATATCAGTGTCAGATTATCACCAATGTGTTATGCGAGATATTGGTCAATTTGATTTTCATAGATTCTCAATGGGCAAGGTTGTGATAGTTACACTATGTTTTAATAATTAGGTGTTAGTCTGGTTAATGTTGCTATGGTGCATCAATTAAATTATAAGAAATGCTGGCAAGAAGGTCACACATAATGACCATATATGGGTCTGTCATAAAGTACTGTTTTGTTTTGTTTTTTCAACGTTAATTCAATGTGTCTGATTCACACTCATGAGTGGTATGATGATGATGGTATTATCCCAGTAAACAATATTGTTACTTTTTAATGCAGTTTTGGACATTTTGTTTATTTCAAGTTTTCATTCAAAATAGGAATAATGACAAAACATATTATTATGTTATTATTTTATGGTTATTATTTAGATGTTATATGCCTGACTTTTTGAATAGAAAACAAAACAAAATAAAGATTGTTTTTGTTAATGAGAATAAATTTTTAAAATAAAAAAAAAAGATGGGACCTATTTAGTTTTTGTTTCATTAATTTTTCACCATGGTTTCTCATCATAACTCTATTCATTTGGCTTCCTACTGATTCAGTCTTTTGTTGTCATGGTAGTATCACTGGTAATTGTGTTTGCCATACATTTTTTTATCAAACTGCCATGTTCCTTCTATATCTTCAAAAGGTTTAAAAGGATCATTAACAATTTTAATTACATAAAATATTAAAATAATTTAATTATATCATAGTACAACATTAATCTCTGAATTGTAGTATGCATAACTAGTCATGTTTTTGTTTTTTTTGGTTTCGTGAACATTATTTGCTGGATAGAAATTAATTTGAGTGCAGAGTCCTGATTACATTAAAATTTCTATATTCAATCTACTTAGTTCCTATTTATGATACCCTTGCGTGAAATACATGAATAATTTATTGCTTAATTTATTAATTTTCGTATACATACACCAAATCAAATATCATCCAGTTAAATATAGAAGAATTTTTGATTGACACTCATTTATCACTAGAACATAAAATCGATGAACACAAAAATATGAAACTGATATTAAACAAATCTAGAATTTATCTATAATAAACTTGAATGTTCCCTTTTTTGGGTCATTCTGAGAACAGAATATGTTCAAAAGATTGGTGTTTTTTTTTTCAATTAATTTCCTATGATATGTTTCAATTGGGTTCAACAAGGATATAAAGTAAAATAGCATAACCGTTACACAACTGTGACCTAAATAAGGTGTATGTTTTGTCATATACAGAAGGGCTGATTTAATATTCACTGGTAACAGTGATTAAGCATCAATATTCATTCTGTCATAATTTAGTTCTGTGTTCTAGGAAAAAAACATTACTTGCTCTGCTGTGTTTTAATAAAATGACTGCCTGAAAATGGACAAAATTTCCCCCAAACACTGCTCATGTCTCATGACCTTTGACACGTTTTCAGTGAAACAGTATTTTTGTTAACAAGCATGTTAACGAACATTTTAATTTGGTTTATGAGAATACCTAGGGAGAATAGCTCAGTAGCTAAATCATTCATTGTACACCAGTCAAGGAGACTGCAGTGCAAATTTTGGTATCTGTATTGTTACACTGTAGGTGAATTGATATACCCTGCAGTTAGAATATAATGAGAATCCTCATGTATTGTTGAACACATGATTATTCAACCACATACACATCATACTGACTGGTCAGTAACATATAACTATAATTTGCATATGTGTAACTGGTATTTGAAAATAAATCAATACATTCTTACATCCACATTTTATTAATTTGAAAAATCCTCATCGTTTATTTATCTCATAATTCAACATAATTATTTATTAATATATATATACATACTTTATGCATATTTAACAGACATGTGTGGTGTGTGTTTGTGAGCATTTGTCAAATTACCTTATCGGTAACAAATTGAAAGCATATATAACTGTACGTGTTTGCCTTAACATAAATAGAGCTCTATGCTCCCTTTACCTTTTTATATATATATCTCAAGCTTCCATTGATGACAATGCAATTTCAATGTCTTGATTAATTACTGTATTAAAGTGTCTGAAGTTGGTGTGTACCTTGTTTTGCACATACATTTTCTCATCCAAGATGAAACTTTGGCCATACATGTTTTATACAGAATGTCAAGTTGATAAGTTGAAGCACTCATGAAAAACAAATACCCAAAATTGTGGTAATTTGTACCTCTTGTATCAAATATGGCAACCAAACCCCCAAAAATTCATCATCTCCTCGTGCCCCAGACATAAACATGAGCAGAAAATGTATTCAATTTATCTCTGTATGGTCATTATTTTACTGTCACAAAATAACAAAGTTGTTGGGGCATTTCTCAAACACTAGACATTTTTTAGTAGTTGTTTGTGCTTCTAATTTGGAACATTTACATACCTCCATCCATTTCATGTGGATGAACTCATCAATGTGATTCTATTTATCTATTTGTCTGTGTTACTGTAAAATGACTAATTTTCACTGGGTTTAAATTTCACTGATTTACCATTTTAGACATATTCAGTGGGTTTTAAATTCACGGTTTCGTCATTTAGATAATGTGTTCTATGCTAAATTTTACATATTCACTGTGTTTTAATTTAGCGCATTTTTCCAGTCAGCGAAATAAGCTAAATTAAAACCCAGTGAATAATTACCCCCTTTACAGTATCCCAATAATTCTTGTCCTTGTATGACGCAATCTCTGCACCTATTTGTGACACCATGCTGTGATGATGCACATTTCAGAAATTTCAATATGTGTGATGTGACAGCAGAATATTTTCAACACTTAAACGCACACAATCTGTGAAACTGTATCATTCATATCCTGTTACGGGCAGTATGGACAATTCATCGTCCATGATGATCTTACATAAAATACAGAACCATATACAAATATAATTTTACTTAGGTAGCTGTTTATCATTATATTTCAGAGTACTGAAGAAAAAGAGGTTGTTGATGAGAAGGGAGAAGAAACTATGAAAACTGGAAAAGGAGACAACGATGATGGAATTGTTGATTCATCTGACATCCACCCCTTAATACAAGCTGAACATCCTGCCATTTCTGATCCTGTTGGATATACTGAACATATACAGGGCAAAGTGAAACAAGCAAGAGCTAAATATATTACAAAACAGATTGAGAAAAAAATGACCCCTAATCAGATTGAAGAAGAAAGAGAGTAAGTAAAGCTTATTTATTAGTCCCTGTTCGGACAAAGTCCGAAAACGGGGACTTATAATTCGATCTCCGTCCGTCTGTCTGTGCGTCGGTGCCTTCGTCCGGAGTCATATCTCACAATCCCTTGGACCGATTTCGTTCATTCTTTGCATGTGCAGTGCAGTGTACATGCAGTGGTTTAGCGATTCGATTCAAAATGGCTGACTGGCAGCCATCTTGTTTTTTGCAAATGTTGTATTTTGGATATGCTTTGTCAGTTGTCATTCAAACTTGGTGCATAGATTATACATGTTAGGATACATGTCCATGACAATTTATTTCGCAATTGGATCAAAGATGGTTGTCTGGCAGGCATCTTGTTTTTGTTTTTTTTATGCGGTATCTTGGACGTGCTCTGTCAGTTTTCATTCAAATTTGGCACATACATGTACTTTATACATGTTAGGATGCATGTCCATGACAATTTGTTTCAAAATCTGGTCAAGGATGGCCGATTGACAGCCATCTGACTTTTTGGCCTCACTACTATATTGCCACAATTTATGTACCATTTTCATTTGTATTTGGCACATACATCATACATATCAGTGTGTTTCATAATCAGATCAAAGATGGCCGAATAACGGCTGTTTTTATTTTTGGCCATATTACTACTACACGGAACTCAAGTTTCAAGGACACGCTCGCGACAACCCCTCCGCTTTAATATGACGAGCACAAAGAGAACTTTCAAAAATTTAATGGGAACTGTGTCATTTTCAATGACTTGTTTGTCTATAGTTGCATCAATTCCTAATTTCCGAGTTACTATTTTTCTGAAGTTTTGAAGTTAAGTGTCGCACAGATGATATATACATATGTATACAAGTACAAAGAATTAAATATTTTGTTTAGTATATCCAATATGCCGACCAGATATTTCTTTCTCAACTTTGTTAGGTAGTATGGTATCTTTATGACAATTTTGACTTTGAAATTGTGTGTCCTCAGAGTTCCAAAGTTTAAGTTGGTCAACAGTACATGTATCTTGGATACAATTCGATGCCGGTAATATTGTGATTCAATGACCTTTGCTATTTGTTTTAACCACAGAACTCAACGTCGTCAACTGGCAGCAATTTATTCCTTGATGAAAGAAAGTGAAGATAAGTTTGGTGTTGACTCGGTGACTGAAGTCAATGAGCAGTTTAAACTTTATGCATAAAGCCACTTCTGCACCAGATTTTCTTATACCTCACCCATTCCAACAACTATTTGTACATGACTTTATGATACAACTACCGGGGGGTAGTTGCTATTTTTTTTAATCTGTAATGTCAGTTATTTTTCAAGGTAAACTTTGCAAAAGCCTGAGAAATATTTTTGTGGAAATGCACAAGGTGCTTTACTCTTGTTCCACACAGTAAATGAAATGTTATGTGTATGCATAGAGTTGAGAGAATTTTTATTATTCTCTCTCATGTTTTTATTTTCTGATGTTGTCTATGATTTTCTGTGTTGCAAGCTGCATATACTATATTTGCTCTATCAAAAGTGCATCTCCAATAAAGGAAAAAAAAAACCAAGTATTGCATTTATTTTACACAAGATAAATTAAATATTACTTGTTTTGATCTTAAATACATGAACATTCTTTATGTAAGCACACATGTTACTAATACCGGTAGAGCAAATACAGTATGTGTTTTTCCCACGTTCAGAGACTGTTGCTGTAACTTTCACACATGCCATCTCCATTTATTATTTTGAAACAGCACTTCAAATGATTAAAAAATTTATTAATTTAAGAAGAAAAAACAAGAAAACAATTTCTATCCTGTTAATGTGTTTTCTTTCAAAAACAATTAAACTACAGTGAATTAAGATTTTTTACAATTCTAGAGAAAATTGAAATGTTAAGTGGGTACCCTGTATATAATTTTCTCATATATCATTCAAACATGCATTCAACATTATGGGACCTTGATGTACTTCATTTTGCAGATCGGATTCAAAATCGACTGGTAGCAAGTTTGGTTAACTGAATGTATTTCTTGACTCATATCTAATAATTTTATTTCATTGTTATTTAGTTTTTTTTTTGTTTATTATTGCTATATACGGATAGAATTTCTAAAGATGCAATAAAGTTGACAAGTCTTGACTGATGACACATAATATCATTCATCTTGGCATACATATGCACATGCACTTGTGATCCAATTCAAATGGCCAAATTCTAAAGCTAAGAAATCATCTAAATCCTGGTTCTGCTATTCTAAAACTGAATGCATAGACAAATTTTGTTTAAACGAGGAACGTACATTGAACATAATAGTACCTTAGTGCAAGCATATATTATTAATAATCATTTATTGATAGTGACTACTGATATTTAAATTTGTGTTTTTAGTTTTAATATTTTACCATTTTATATTGTGTGTGTACATTAATGTTTATAATTAACTGTTACTTTGAATCAAAAAGCAACCCAACCAATATTGATAATTCAAATGCAACGATTTGTAATGGTAAGCTGATATCATTATTGCTACACTGCTGGTAAAGATCCTTTTTTTCATTCACAATAATATTTCACTTATCGGTAGTTTAATTTTTACATTTTAATATTACCAAAGATTTGTACAAAGCACTTTGGTGACTACTTGTATTGTATTGATAGGTGACAACTGGACCTGGTCAATTGCTTGTTTCTTGGGAAGCATTTATTAAGTATGTCTACAGTTTTGTCTCCAGTAAGTGGATGTGTTTTATTTGCAGACAGAGCTTGATGTTTCATTGACATGAGAGGCGAGACAGTTCTAGCTTTTCTAGACTCTCCAGCAACTTCAGTATTTAAAAACAAAACAAGCATCTTCTTTTGTATACCTTAGAGGTTGTTTATCTATGAATTTTCATGAATATAGATTCAAATTCAAACAAGAGACTGTAATTTGTACTGCACTCTCTGCCAAGATCACATTACATGCAATAATGTGTGGCAATTTATACTGAGAAAGGATGGTGTTGACATTAAATTTAATTGAATTTAACACATTGCCAATTGATGAAATGAGAAAATTTGGTTCGATAGTTTTGGGTTTGTATTCCCTTCTGCATGCTATATATCAGTGTAGCTTAAAGAGATGATAGAAAGTGTATGACCTTTCTAAAAGTCGGCTGCAACACTTATTGTTTTTTTTAATAAATGCAGATCTATTAATAATGGATACTTAAATTTTCAAACTTTGTAAATGTTGTATTTTGTTGTAAATGGTTTGTATTAATATTAAATATTTATAAAATGTATCTGTTGTGTTTAGTATGCGAGAATGGATAATGCAGTTATGGTCATACGAGGGCTCTTTAGCAATATTAACTCTAACCAGATACAAGGTTTTTTGCAGACACCATAATGAAGTGCCCCCTTCACATCAATGCAAATTCTGAGTGTTTTTAGTTGTAATTATTGTTACAGCCAAGTATTGAACCTACTTTGATGTCATTCTGACCTTATACATCTTCAAAAAAAAATTATTTACCTAATACCAAGGAAAATACACTTTATCTTCTCAAGTGGCATTTTTATTGTTTTCTGGTTTATATTGAGAAGACCCATGTTCATATAATATTTTTGATTAAAATTTATTTTGTGTGTTTTCTACATTCAGTGCTCTTTATTGTGTACATGAAAAATTTAGTCAAATTACTCCAAATCTTCAATTTCTCCTGAGGATAATTTTAAACTCATACTTACCTTACTATCATTCGATATTAGAGTATTGAATGAAATCAATGGGCATAACCATCCAAATTTGCTCCAATTCAGAAATAAGCAGCATTCCAGATGTGCCACTAAACTCTCAGACTGGTAATCTGGCGAAATAGCTTACTTTACAAGTACTAGGATCTATATCCTAACACTGGTGCCCATGTGGGACTTGATGCAACTGTGAACTGAGACTCAACTGAGAGATTTTAAATCAAAACTTTACTCTCCAATGCCATTTTTTGTACTCTTACAATCTTTTAGCCAGTGACGAGTGCCGTGGGCCAAGTCGTTTTAAACCCACAAACATCTAGAGCTAAACAAGCCATGCATGGCACAGTCCCAGTTAGTTATAAAATTTAAGATATATAGTTTTGTTTATAGTAATATAGCTGGAATATAACCATGTCAGGAATATTATTTTTTTTTAACAATAAAATTATTGACATTTGTATCTGATCGTCAAACAAATATTTGTTCATATTGAGAGATATTGCTCTGGAACAGCATTCAAAATCAGCCATTTTGAATACATGTATATATATAACATGATGTATAATGAACATATAAAATTTGAATATAATCAGTCAAAGCTTTTAAGAGATATGGCTCTCGAAGCCCAATCATTAAAACAAAATGGCTGCCAGTCAGCTATTTTGAATCCAATCTGAAAAATAAAAAGACGTGCATCAGAGACCCGTAATGTCTAATGTATGTACCAAGTTTGAACGAAATCCATCCATAAATGCCAGAAATGCTAGATATTTGATGATTTTTTTTAGCATAAAAATGACCACCATTCAGCCATTTTGAATAGGATACTCAAACCAATATACCTGTTTATCTATGACATGATGTATAATGAATATTTAAAATTTGAATATAATCAGTCAAAACAAGTCGGAGATATGGGTCTAGAAGCCCATTCATTAAAACAAAATGGCCGCCAGACAGCCATTTTGAATCCGATCTGAAAAATAAATGATGTGCATCAGGAACCTGTAATTTCTAATATATGTAACCAAGTTTGAACGAAATCCATCCATCAATGGTGTGCGTCTTAGCAATGTAGAACGTTCTGTCATGTAGCTCCGTCCCTAAGGATAGGTATCAATGGCTTTTGGGATGAATCTACCAAAAAACATGTGGGGGTATTGAGAAGGAAGGAACGTGGTCACTATGGTGAATGTTTCCTATGCCACCAAGTCTCTCACCTTTAGAATCATGCTTCATTTTACCAGATACTTCAGCAAACACAATAACAGACGCAGCTTGAATATCTTTACAGCATGTATATTACATTAGATGCATTTTTTTACTTCCATACAGATACTTTGCTCTTTAATTAATATAATATGTACAATAGTTTTTTTTTTTTAATATCATTAAAAAAAGTGCTAGTTATAAAGAGCAAAACATGCAAATATTGATATATTAGCCAATCAATACCAATTACATCAACTCCACCACACAAAAATATACACTAAAACACAGTCCCTCTATAGAGGGACTGTGACTAAAACAATCCCAATCTAGAGGCACATTACACATAGATTGTTGAATTGTTCTAAAACTATGATTTGAGAAATCCATCAGCTACCATGCTGTAAATAACTCAACGAAAGATTGCAGGTAATTGGGATTGCAAGATTATTAGTGCACAGTTTTTACTATGTCTTCGTCTTACCATGTTTTTATAATGAGAACACAATCAAAATAATGTTTGATGTTAACAAACCTAAAGGTGTGTTTTTTAGCCCGGTCTACATTGTTTATAATGGATACATTATGTACATTTACTCAATAACAATTTACATAATCAGTTTTCTCAAAGAATTTTCCATGTCGAGAGTAAATCATATTCGTTGTCTGGAATACTGAATGCAATGTTAAGGAGCAGCCAAACCAACTATTAGGCTATATACAATGTATTATCTATTGTTAAATAATATATTTTGTAGCTTGTTTTGCAAATTAACTGTAGATAAGAAAAAAAGACACTGGTGGCAACCACAGAGAAAACGTATTACAATTATCATGCACCATACGCAAGGTTAACTGAACTCCAAATTTCTACAGACAATAATTCAACAGACTAGCAGTGGAGTGGTAATTATAGAAATTAAACAATTGACAATTTAATAATTAGTTCGAGCCATCATGAACACTTGTCATTAAATCATGAATGGCATAGACCGCTTTTTGCACATAGTCCTGTATATTTGTTTATCCTATTAGACCAGCAATGGCAGGATAGACAAAGAACATCAAAGTGTCTGTAAATGCTGATGAAAACTCTTTCCACAAATTCACTGGTTTTTCTTGTCTTCTGGATTGTGAGCTGTTGAATACGGCGGTGGTGGTGCTGTCGCCTAGGAAACAAATACAAATATATGGCATATTATTGCATTGCTTTACTGTCACACTTGTAACAACACAACTCATATGAATCACAATACTAATCAGTATTATACTGGACATTGTCAGAGGTAATGCAGTTTCAGTTGCTGTCAGAATTAATGGATAACCCTTAATTTAAACATTGACCTTTTAGTCTGCATTATTTTAACAATCCCCCACAGTAAGTGCCATATTAGATGAGAAGAAGATATTGTGTAAGGCATTTACATAGTGAAAACAGTACTGTCACAAGATTTGTGTTTCTTTGCAAACTGTTCAAACACACATTTGATATCAATATTTCATTCACTAGATCAGGGATGATATTTCATGTACCATAGTTGTGCATGCCTTACCTGTTGTGGTGGTGCAGGTGGCATGTAAACATTCTGTGGGTTTGTAGGGCTGTAATAGGCAGTACCACCATTAGACATGGCTTCTCTGGCTTTGGCATCTATGGGTAAATAATATAGTATATCATGTTTTGTTATTTATTGAGATAAAAAATAATATAAGTTCTCATTAATGTGTAAGCAAAGACTGAAAACAGCAGTAAAATAACACAACCTAAATTTCTGTAATTCAGGTGAAAGCTGGCTAACTATTATTGTGATATTTTCCATCACATTATACTAGCCGCTTCTGAAATGAGTATAACTTTGGTTTTTATTCAATTTAAAATTTTCACCAGCATTTTAGTAAAACATTTTACATATTTGAAAAAAAAATTCCATGGGCAACGGGTCTTGGTCAAACATTTTGTAAAAATATGGGAATTTTTTAAAAAGTTTATTTCGTGGGTGCCTCTGGCATTCAAAGGGATAATAGTAGAATTCTAGGCAAACAGAATTGACAGACAATCACCTACATGAACAGCTCTGCTATGTCATCTTAAATGACAGAAGAGCTAATCAAATTTGCAAGATTTCCAATGAGAAGTGACCTTACATACCTGCTTCCGACACTGGAGGTGCAGTGGGGGCAACTGATGAATAAGGCGGTGGTGCCTCAGGAGACTGATCTGTTGAAATACAAACTATTCATTAAACATGACAGCAATCACCTATTATTAGTAGGATTGTGGGCAAGACACATGCATTAAC